CATAATGTTTTAGTCAGGCAAATTCTACTTAAAAGTCGAGCAATTCTACCCTCGATTCTACCTAAAAATCGGGAAATTTTGCTTAAAAATCAGGCATTAATGATTTCAAGGGAGCACGACGCGTATTAAAATAAAATCGTCAAAAAAGGAAGAAATATCAAATGTGTGACTCTAAGAAATGGAGGAATGGAACAAATGAGAAATTTATGGCGGAAAAATATTTGGTTTGGAAAAAAATTAGTAATGCTTTGGAAACTCATTATAAGATATATAACAGAGACAGCTACAATCTTGGACAAAACCCTTGAGACCATTCCTGCTAATATTACAAAGTTATTGAACATTGACAAAACAAACTTTGTCTCCCCCTCCCCCCCCAGTTCAATGTTGTGAACAACGCCGAAACAACTTTTGGTAATATACCATGATACAAGCTCAACATTGAGTTGGGGGAGCGGGGGTTTAAGAATGGCAACATGATTCAACATGGAGTTTATCATAAAAATACGCAAATTTTCTATAGGCGGAAAATAGTCTTAACCAGTTATGTCCAAGATTGTAGCATGATATATAACCATTATCGATGTTTTTGTTTAGGTTTGTTTAATGTTCAGAAATATGGTCCTTTATAACTTTATTGTCACGTGCGTATTGTATTTTTGCCCAACTAACTATTACTAATAGCAATGTTTTTATGCCTTGGGCAATTTTTGGGTAACTTAAAAATTTCTATTGCTGGTATAAGGCAAAAATACAACACACACGTGACAACGAAGGAGCATATTTTTGCATAAACGTTGAATAACATAGATAATGAGTTATTGTTTATATTCTAGTATTGTTCCAAACCATCTCTTCTATTATAAACTATGCTCATCCACAGACTCTTTATACCAATGCATTCCAATGCATAGGATCTGCGCGCAGGCGGCAGATCTACGTGCAAGTGACGACGCATTTTGCGGCGTAAAATTTTCGAATAATGCGAATCGGAGAAAAATAAGAAGACGAATATGGAAAAATTTGTTTTTTAATGTAAACTTTCAAAGATTTAAAGTTGTTTACATGTAAAATGTGCTTAAACTCGTACTACCGTTAAATAATAAGTAATTAAAAGGTAAGAGAGTAGATGTTAGTTAAAGGTTAGGGTTTGAACTTTGTTATTTTGCTTGAAATATTTTCGACAGCCAAAGATGTTATAAAATTAAATATTTTTAAGTATATTTTGACAATTATGGCGTATTTTATATTCAACCTTCTTTACATTTTTGAGATGGCCAATTCTGAATGAATACTACGTTCTCAGTTCTCTTCTTTTTTATGATTTCATAAGATAACTCGTAAAAACAAAGTTTTCCTTTGAATAAAATGGTTGAGAATAGAAATATTATTTCGTCCTGTTTCTCAAAGATTTTTTTGTTTTAATAAGGTATAGGCACATAATAGAGACTATACAGAAGCCCGACTTCTTGGTTTTTCTTATGATTTTGGCGTAATCATAATTTGTCATCAAAACGCTGATGCCTCAGTCCTAGCCAGTGCGCTTATGAGAGGCATTCACCCCCTGATAATATTCAAAATGGTGGACATCCAGGGGGGAAATGCCTCTCATAAGCGCACTGGCTAGGACCATGGCATCATGACGTGGCATCGGTTATGCTTTTTTGGCTGAGTCGACCTTCTGTGTGTCTTTATTCTGTGGCAGTGTGCTTATGAGAAAAATCCACTTCTGATAATAGGAAATCTATTGCGTTGCATTGTTCCCTATAAATGCACCCGACTTTATTAACACTGATTTATATACGACACAACTTTTGCCTAAAACTGCATGTTGCATGTAACCTGCTTACAACTTAAGTTGTACTGTGTAAATCAAGCACACAACTCACCTACAACAATGTAGGTTGTGCAGTGTAAATCGACCTTTGTTTTACTCTGTCTAATGGAAGACAATTTTACTTGTGAAGAGGAGAGTGCTGGTGCTCAACTTCCAAAGTCCTCTGTTTCCTGAAATTTCAGTATCTAGTACAGTAACATTGCTCTTATTTCTGACAGTTTTTTCAGATTATCAAGCAAAACTTGACAGATTACCAATTATTTTAAGAAGGCCAAATTTTATCGGCTTTTTATTTTTTGATGAATTGACTTGCATCTGTTATCCACTTCATTTTATAGCCGCAACACCAAACATGTCCAGACACCGAATTGACCAGCCTCAGTTTCCTGAATATGATGGCCTGTCCTTTAGTTTCAACATGATCAATCACATCACATACGAAAAATATGGCGACTCTGTTTTTACCGAGATATGCAAAACAGTCTCAAAATGTTACAAATCAGACATCCCAATCTCCACTCGGCTTCTGGGAGATTATCGTATATACCCAATTCCTCTAAACCATACATTATACGAATACCTCGATACGGAAGCACAAAAAAGTCCAAACTTTTTAATATTTATGCGAAGAGATTACCATATACTGGTGACGTGGTTTGGCCCTTTTGTTGATGCCAATCATCTTGGTAGCATTGTTGACAAATTGACTCGTTCTCATGAAATCATGAAAGAAATAGCAGAGACAGTGATGGTCACACAGGATGACATGGCTGGCGAAGACAAAGTTGAATTGGGGAAAAAGGAGCTTGTTGAAAAATATTGGAAGAATGTCAAGGATGCACTTGCCAAAATTGAAAGCAAAAAGATTGAGTTGAAAGGTATGTAACAGACATTTCTGGAAAGTAGATGAGTAAATTTGTCTGGTGTTAGACAAAGTAAGGCGCACCAGGGTGCATTGCCACTTAAAGAGTTAATTACAGTACTGTAGGTCATATATAGATTATAGAACTGTATTATTATATTTCCACAAATTCCACATACATTATACATATTACATACATCTTTTTTATCAGGTTTTGCTTATCAAGTTTTCGATACGCCTACTGCGGATAAACTAACAAAGCAGCTGACAGCGTCAACTGGGAAAGTGTTAGTTAAAGGTGTTGCGGCTGTATTACTTGCTGAAATAGCTGAAGAAATTGGGAGAAAAATTGCTGCAATGTTAGCTGCCAAAACTGCTGCCAAGGCCGCAACTAAAGGTGGCTCATCCGGGGCCAGCAAGATTGCAGCGAAGAGTGTACCAATCTTGGGGCTGGCCGTCGGCCTTGGGTTTGGTGTTTGGAGATATTGGCAGGGGGATATGACAGGGGCGGGGTTAGAAGTGATGTCCGGGGCAGCGGCGTGTATCCCTGGGAGCGGCACAGCAACGTCACTTGCGATCGATGCAGGCCTCATTGCAAGAGACGTGTATGGAGCAAAAAGTGGAGGAGCTCAAGAAATTGAGGTATGATCATTTACTAATCTGGCAGATTGTGGCATGAATGAATAATCAGTAATTTCAGATTCTTGCACAATCGGTCAATCACTAATCACTGGAGCAATAAGGATGCGAAAAACTAAAGTTTTATCCATTTTATAATAGTTTTGTTTGTGGAAACACCACTAATAATATATGACTTGTTCAATTCACACGCCCTTTTTATATACAAAAGTGTTGTGATCTGTTGGCTTGCGTCATTTGAAAGTAATAATTAAAGTGATTCAAATCACAGAGGAGAGACATACAGAGACGTAACTAAGTGTACCCACTTTTTTTGTGCGCATGCTCGGCAAGTTACTAGATGCATGCATTTGATTGGATGACGACCTGATGACGACTCACTTTAAACTTGCTGAGCACACGCAGTTGATCATTTTTCGCCCGGTCGCCTGAAAAAAAGTGGGTACATGATAACGTAATCTTCCGCAGTGTTTACAACGGTCAGTTACGTCTCTGTATGTCTTATCTACTCTGTGTTCAAATTAACGCGCGCGCATCCAAGACAATATCTTTTATCCATCTTCCTTTCACTTCTCAGGAGCTTAAAGGGGAGATGCATGACCTCGACAAAGGATTGAAAGATTTATACGACCACTACGACAATGCAATGGCTGAATACGAGTTTGTTAAGGAGATACTCGAGGTGGGATTTACGGTGAGAAATCTTGAGCATGAGATAAAAATCTTGGACGATGCCGTAAGTATACTCGACTCAATTTATGATGAATTTGTTCTAATGTAGATTAGTTGTAATGAACATTCTAATAATAATGCCTGTATGGTTAATTGATTTTTCATTATGGTTTTGCACTAACTGTAGTTAACTTTAACTATACATTTTTATGTAAATTTTAAAGTGCACATATAGCTATTTTGAATTTTACATATTTGTAATATCCAGTAGATTTTAAGATGAAATGCAATATATTTTCGTTGTGAAAAACGCCATCTCATGGTCTTTTTGGCTGTTAAAGTTTCCGGAAGTGACGTCATTTAAGTCATTTTTGTTGCAAGAAACAATACAAAACTCATTTACATTGCCTTAAGTGACGTCACTTCCGGAAACTTTAACAGCCAAAAAGACCATGAAGGTGACGTTTTTCACAAAGAAAATATATTGCATTTCATCTTAAAATCTACTGGATATTACAAATATGTAAAATTCAAAATAGCTGTATGTAAATTTTAAGGAGTTGATTCAACTCCAAAACTGTTATTCTGTCAGCGTTTTTGGATATTTTTTGAAGTGCCTACAATCTGCGTATACTACGCAAGACCACGTGAATATAACGTCTTTAACTTCAGTTTAATAGTTGTGTACTTTTATTTTGAATGAATTTGTGTATAGTACATATTGTATATTTCGTAATGTTTATATATATTGCAATAGATAAATTACTGTGAATGGGTGGAGTGGGTTAATTATATCAAAGTTAATGGAGTGGGATTATATACTGTACAGGAAATGTATTAATTTCTACATATATGTATATTTAATTAGTATTCAATTACAGTTTTGAATTCAAAAGAGTCAGAATTTGAATATGTTTTATTCATCTTGAACTAGTATTAAATGTCTGAACGATAATGAAAGGTATGTATATATGTAATATATTTTAAAAAGGTGTGCTCATGCGGTAAGCCGAAGCTGACTGTATTAAAGGGCATATGACTCGAAAATTGACGGTGTTATTTTTTAGTCTAATTTGAAAGATCATTGAAAACTGTAGAGTAAGTTCTTGCTTCGTTTTGAAGATATTTCATTTTGTATGATATGCAAAGGACCAACTAGGAACGTCATATATGCATAATGATTTAGCCCTAAAAGCTGTATATCTTCAATACGACTAAACACAATCAGTAGAAAACCTACATGGGTGTTGTTGTGGACAAATCTCGTGCTCATCATTCATTTTGAGCGAATTTATTTGATAGTGACAAAATTCTATAACATTTTAAAGTAAATCATTATTCATGTGTGACGTAGAAAGTTGGTCCTTTGCATATTACACAAAATAAAATATCTCCAAAACGAAGCAAGAAAACAAACATCTGCATCAAAGAAGTCACTCTACAATTTTCAATGATCTTTCAAATTAGACTAAAAATAATCACGTCGATTTTCGAATCATATGCCCTTTAAAAAAATAAAGCCTTAGATTAATGACACGCATATAGATAAAAGCTTGCTTTGACATATCAAAACGTGGGGTCCAGTGCAAGTAGTATTCTACAGTGATTGTTGCAGTGTTGTTGAATTGCTTGAAATAGACCAAAACATTTATAACCAACAGAATTACCTAAAAAAGATTCAGGTAAACTATGTGAAGTGTTCCTCTTTTGACTTCGTAACTCATTTGCAATTTTCCTCATTAGCATTGCAAATTAAAAAAAAAACTCTTTGCAAATCCCGTGAGGGAATTTGCAATGTTCCTATCGGCTGTTGCAATATTCCAATGCAAACAAACTCATTTTAAATTTTCCTAACTTTCTGTTTTAATTTCCTAACTTCCTGTTCTGTTCTGTTCTGAGCGTTGTTATTGATGGATTATTTTTGTTAGCCAATTGCAACGCCCAGAACAGAACAGGAAGTTAAGAACTTCTAACAGGAACTGAGGAAAATTTAATTGGCTTTTAGCAACATTGCAAATTTCCTCAAGGGATTTGCAAGGGAGTTTTTTAAATTGCAAAAGTAATGAGGAAAATTGCAAACAATTTAGAAACTCAAAACGCTTGACGTAGTTTACCTGTAACATTTTATTTTTTTTTGCTTGTAACATTTTTTTAGCAAAGCAACACTTCGTAATTCAGACGCAAACCACGTCGGCTTATTTGATCACAAATCACAATACTTCAATAATCAATAGTGTCAGGGTAGTGTAAACCAGACATATACAAGAATGCCCGTATTTAAGTTTTTAATAAAAATCTCCCTTTATTGAAATCTTAAAATTTTTCTCAATATTAATTGCCATGATAGTGTAAACGATCCATAAAATTCTGGCGGTATTAATCAATTAATTTAGACAGGCTTAATTTTGCAATTTTATAAGAAAGTCTGCCTCTGCAAGCGACCATTAATCACCCGTTAGCATCTTTAATTGGAAACGAAAAGGACAATTGATTATAATAGGACTAGCGTAGAAAATTTAATTACTGTTTTGGCTTGTATTGAGGATTATCGTTTCTCGCATTAACCTTGGTATATAGCTTAGAGAAGTCTAGAGAAATGTAAACATTTGTTGAATAATTGCGAAGTATATTCATTGTCTAGGGCTCGAAGTAGTACAGATTTCTAGTTCGCGCTTCTTGCGCCTGTGACGTCACAAGAATGTAAGTAGTACACGCGAAAAATCTCACAGTTTGTCAAGAAGACGTGTTCGCATTGCGTGTTCCCAGTTGTTGAAGAGTGTGGAACAAGTTGTTATCATCTTGTAACGAGGTGATGAGGCTAACAGACTCGCAGCAACTTGTTCCAACAAGTCTGATATCATTAAAAATGCTAGATGCGCGACCAGGATTCATAATAAAGTTTCTGAAACGTTCTCTGATCGTAAATAGGCGGAATTACTCATTGTTTATTGCATGTCATTATAATTGTAATTGTAAACCACTGTCCTTGTAGTTACATCCGTAGAATAGTTTATATGATTTAATATCACTTTACCTGTCGAAGACTGCAGACTGGCAGTCGAAAGCTCGTGTTTTAAATAAAAATTTACGATCAGAGAACGTTTCAGAAACTTTAAGTCTGATATCGTCACAAGTTGCTAATAAGTTGATGACAACAAGCTCGTAGCAACTTGTTACGAACAGCATGTATTATAGTCTTGTTGGAATAGCAACATAGACTTGCCACAATAACTGGGAACAAGCAGTGTAAACACATCCTGATATCTGCTTGACAATGGGACTCTTTGTGCGGAAATGGCGAGTACATTTCTAGTTTCTAAAATGAGAACTACTATGGAATAATATTAATTATAATATAGCATTTGTAAATTCTGAACGCTGATTGGCTAAGAGCCGTGTTGATATAACTCAATGTCAACACGCAAATTTCTTTCTTTATATTTCTTTGTGCTATATTATAAAAAAAATATAAAACATTTTTTCCGTATTGATATACAGTTATATCAACACTCGTGGAAATTGGGAAAACTTGAAATTGTGTGAAAACAACACAATTTCTCGTTTTCCCAATTCCCACTCGTGTTGATATAACTGTCATATCAACACGGAAAATGTTTTATATTTGTTAAATATTCAGGTGTAAAAAGTGGCAGCAATATATCAAATATGAATGATCACAAGAATATGTTTTATTCTCTCACAAAAATCATGCCAAAACTTCCAGTACGTTTGAGTACTAATATGTTTCATAAACATGTAACATATTACTTTCGTCTCATAATTTCAGTAGATTTTCTTGACTATGCTGGGAAGAAAATTCTCGAAATTTCCTTGAGATATAATCAGCGGTTTTCATAAAAAAAAGAACGCACAGTCGACGATGACGCGCGCGCTTGACCTAATTGTATTTCGAAATCAACAAAACCTTTCTAGAATCCGTTATAACGAGTGCGATGCCCCAAATCCTTTAAAAATACCTCCATACCTTAATGGACAACTTGCATGTCAGACTAAATTTTAATCTAAGTAAAGAGAAGGGAATCAAACACCACAGATAAAAAGAACATAATGAAATTAGTAAAATTGCAAAATTTGATTGCCAAATGTTGTAAAGCTTGGAAAATATAGTCTTGCAAAGTTTGCAAGTTTTGTATATGTTTGTATTAGGTGCGGAAATTGTTACCATTTTCGGCTCAAAAATGGTAACAATTTCCTCACGTAATACAAACACATACAAAATATGCAAACTTCACAAGGCTATATTTTCTGTACTTTACAACATTTCGTCACAAAATTTAGCAATTTTACTAATTTTAATAAGTTCTTTATGGGACTTTTTTTGCCTAGATCAAAAATTAGTCTAACATGCAAGTTGTCTATTGAACTGCACGAGTCATGTTATGAAATAGTAAACTTTTCGTGTCGCAAAAAAAGCCCTAAATGTCTGATTAGTAGTCTCCATGTTGCCGTAGTGATAAACTAATTAAGATTGTTTATTGTCTCCTAGGGCTGTCATTTTCCATTAGCGTGTTTAATTAGGCGCCCATGGTTTGCCTAATTGGAATTATATACCCGCGCATTAGTGACGAGAAGGCAAAGCGTACATGCATTACTGGGAGAAGCGTCTACAGCGACAAAAGGTATTTTTCAAATTAATCTTTTAGTTTGATTTTCCACTTCAACTGTACCGAAACGTATACCCAGCACTAGAGTGGAAGCAATGAGTTTGACAGAAAAAGAAAATAGTGCGTTACGATTGAAGCAAGGAACAGGCTTTACAGTGCTATTCGGTGACCTGCAACCTGCTGAGCACACACCTTTGAATTTGTCAAATTTTGTGCTAAAAATTCGAATTTCGACCGAGAAAATGCAAGAAAAAGAAGATTTTTGCTAACTTTCGAGCTATCAGCTATGTCTTTGACTCCGTTTCACCGTGGCTTCGCTAACTGTATAAACAAAGTTAGTATTTGCCAAAAATTTGAACAGAAAGCCATTTTTGAAACACTTGCTATATAAATTTGACAAATAATGAAAAAATATTGAAATAATGAAAATTTCAGGTGGCCGCCAATAACACACGCGAGCGGGTGACGATAAACCGATGCCTTAATTCCATCGGCCTTTATTTGGCAACATTTTTACTATTTATGACATGGACACTTGTTCAAAAGTTAGCCTTTTAACACGTACATTTATCATAGAAAAAATTGGTAAAGTATATACAAATCTTGTTCGTCTATATGCATGGGTCAACAAAGAAAATTTGGCAAAGTAATATGAGCACTGGCATACGAAAAACTTGTCATAAGCGTTTACACGAAACCAAAAAAATAAATTTTTTATCATACATGTGTTAAAGAAGGATGTTCTGCTTCTTTGCGCATAGGCAGTGAGAAAAAAACTTGAAATCCATCGCATTTAAACGTGATTTAAGGTGGTCCTAAGTTGAAAACAATGTAGTTGTGACGTACTGGGAAAGGTCTATTTCGGATACAGTGCCTAGTGTTATCTAAAAAGTATTCGCAGGGAAATTGTGAGCATGGCTCGCAGTCGCCGATATTTTCTTCACATATAACGTACTCTTTAGGGATGAAAGAAATGGGATGAAAAATGACAAAATGTCGGCAGCATAATCCGTGGGCTATGTATAAAGTACTGTGCTGAGTGGTTATATTACTACCTTAAAAACAAGCAGGAACTCGACGTTTCGAGCGAAGGCCCTTCGTCAAGAGTTAGTACCTGCATGTAGTCCTGCTACTAACTCTTGACGAAGGGCCTTCGCTCGAAACGTCGAGTTTCGATCTGCTTGTTTTTTAAGGTAGTAATACAACCACTCAGCACAGATTTTCACATTGGTACTACCTACACTGGTACAGACAGTTTTAGATGTATAAAGTATATACTGTATTGGATTTATGTTATATATGTTTCAAATGACAGATAAGGAGGTATATGATATAATGATTTTTAAAGATTCTTTCATATTGCCTTATATAGGAACACTTATATATCATGGAAAACTTGCCCATCTTCAATATGGCATTTACTGACTGCAATTCCTAAGGTATTAGTCCAGTTATATCGTGAGACCAGTAATTAGCTTGCGTAGGTAGCAATATCAAGCAGCCATGCATGTTTGAATTAATAACATAAAGTGACATTATATGTCCTTTGTCGCAGCGGGTGTCCCTACAATTACTACGCTGTCAAAAACGTTTCTCCTTTATTGGAATAATTTATAAGAAAAAATAATTTTATTTTGCATGTACTGTATCGTACTGTTTTGTCCAAAAACCATGATCAGCCGACAATTTAAAAAAGTAAAGACTAAAGTAAATTCCGAAAAGACAAGACATCTTGAGAATACAATATATGATTTAAAAAGAAGAAGAAAAAGTCTCAACCTGCGTCTCTTGTTTTTCAATCATATATTGTATTCTCCGAGATGTCTTTTCGGAATTTGTTTTTACTGTACTGTTTTGTGGTTTCCAGGTTTATGTTTTTAAGAATTAAGCTTTCAATATTCTGCTCTGTTGAGCGAGACATCCACACGCTTGAACTGGCCTCTGTAGCTCAGTTGGCAGGGCCGCCGAGAGGGGGGATTGCCCCGGCCCCCCACCTTAATAGGGCCTCCAACTTGAGATCGAGAGCCTGAAATTGAGTAGGTCGGTGCATTTTTGAAATTGAGGGCCCCTTACAGTAGCTCCACATGCATGCAGTCTAGCTAAGGTCTAGTTGGGTATTATAACTTAGAAATAATGATGTCATGGGGCCCCCAGAGAAGATTTGCACGGCCCCCGCGAATTCTCTCGGCGGCTCTCTCAGTTGGTTAGAGCGCTGCACCTCAGAGACACAGGTTCGATTCCCACCAGACTGCCAAAAGTTTTGCAACTGTTAGGTTTCAAATTCGTACATAGTTTCCGCGCGAATTTATGCACGAAAACATTAATAAGGTGTTTTGGTGTTTGTTTTTTAAACAAGACGTCATAATGCGTATACGTGGGCTTTGGGTGACATTAAGAAAATTAGAAGATTAACATTTCTTTCACACAATAAAGCATGAAAAAGCCGCCCTTTGAATTGACGAAATTGATTCGCCCCCAATTAACCAATTTTTTTATTAATCCGCTATATCTCTGGAAAAATGTAATGCTACCATGTAGATTTATTTTTTTCACAAATATTGTAAGAATTCTCATGTGAATTTGAAATAAGAACATTATATACGATTTAAGTAATAAAGTCCATTTTTTGATAAATATAGTTCTTGTGAGTGGGCCCTCTTCTGACGCGGCATTTCAGAATAATTTGAAAATAATTAATTTGTTTGTCTGGTACATATAAAATATTTAAATAATTTCCCAAACCGCTTTCGATGACGCGTTTGTATATAGTTGATTTTGTGCGGTTTGATTATATTCTGATAAGCCCCTGTATAGGTCTTCTGGCAGGAATGGAACCTGCAGCCCTGTGACTCCGGTGCAGTGCTCTAACCAACTGAGCTGCATGCAGAGCCCAGCTATCGACAAAGGCCTCGAAAGTGGGGAGGGGGGGGGGGCACTGACAAAAAAGGGCACTTTCCCATATAGTCGTTTTTATTTAGTTTCAAGGTAATCCCTGCCCTTGGTTTATGCATTGACTATTACAAGAAATAGGTAGAATGGAGTGCATATATTTATTATATCATAACGCTTATCAAAATTTCCCAAAAAACCTAATTAGATGTTTTTCTGAATAAGATAAATCTGCGATATGTCTTGTGTAATTAGCTATATAAATGTCTATTGAGATCTTGTGTTTCAGACTCGTATAGTATACCATAAGGCACATTTCATGAAGTCAAAAAGAGCACGTTCGCTTGAAAAAAGAGCACATTTTGGTGTTTGCAAAAAAGTGGGAGGGGGCAGCAGTGCCCCCCCCCCCCCACCGGTTCCGTGGCCTTTGGTCATCGAGCTCTAACTGCAAGCTCATGTATATATATACTACTAGGGTGATGCCAATGTGTGGTGTATGAGTAAATGTCATGCCGCTTTTGAGCATCTTACTCGATAGAACTAAATATTGAAAGGTTTTTGTAAGTACAAATACGAAGGTGTATAGTGATTGAAAAATGTTACAATGACTGCTTATGAGTCAGAGTGGGGGGGGGAATTAAAATTTGTCACGAACATTGCCGAGCACTGCGGCCTGCTTTAAACAACCGCTGCTTTTTCTTAATTGCAACATTCATTATTTGACACTTTCTATTTTATGTTAATTTGACAAATTATCACACAATCAGCCGTGATTGTCATTCATATCAGAGACGGGGGCTGTATATAACAAAATCTTTCAAATGAACATTCACCTTATCTATATTTTGCAGAGATTATTCAGCGGGCGTCACTGCAAGAGACTTGGTTCATTCTCTTACCGAATTCTGATTATTGTTGTTCACCTGTCAAGAAATGCGTGGACAAAGTTTTTTATGTGAAGTTTAGGCTGGAAAAGTGTGATGTTTTAAAAGCTTACGGTGAGTTTTTGCACTTTATTCTGTTTTTGTAAACGCGAAGAAGTTAGTATATATATACACGCGGTATATATAGAAGCGATGTTTTTCTTTAGTATTCAATATTCCTGCTTAGGGATTGTTCCTATTTGTGCCAATCAGGGAACTGGCCAGAGTGAGATGTGCATGTCCTTTGTTGACGCATATAAACTGATTCAATTTGTGTTGATATGTGAAACGAGCCAGCCAGGCTACATGGGATTTCAGTCAAGTGGGATAAAATATTCTATAGGAAGGCTTTATCCACCTTACCGGGATGGACATTGTTTGCCGATTTTGACCTGTAATATTAGTATTAAACTGCGCAGTTGGAAAATACAAACAAGAACATTAATACAATTTAAAAGTGTAAATATGGTTTGTAACGCATTGATCGTGTGTTGTAATTTTGTGTTGTATAGCTTTGTTAAAGTTTGTAACCCTGTCTCTGTTGTTCTATGTAGGTAGGATTTAATGTGTAGATAGGATTTAATGTGGAGGTAGGATTTAATTTTGGACTCCTCAGTCCTGTTGTCTGTACCTTCAATCGTTTTGTTGATTGTAACGTTTATAAATATGAAAAAATTAAATTAATATATCTAAACAGACAGTATTAAAGTCGTAAATTAATACAAGCCAGCTGTTAGTGTAGTTTCATTAATTACAACAAAAATATTTCCAAAGACGCCATGCTTCGCGGCAATGTTTATACAAACACAGAAATCATGCATTCATCCTGTATACTCAGGTGAGCATCCCGGCAAACCAAGTTCATGTGAACATGTATGGCCTCCAAATCCCAATATTTCTTTTAATTATAATAATATTGCACATGCAGGGCAACAAACGATAACACTTGCGCTGTTATTCAACTTATTCTTAATTGTTATTTTTTATAACATGTAATCAGGGTTTTTTAGGGCTTTCTTACGGCCGTAAAACTCAATATTGAATTGAATTTTGAAACGCAATCATCAAAACTTTCAATACAGTAAAAATGAAGTTGCTTGAGTTAAAATTGTGATGTGGAAATAATTATTCCTGTCAGAAACCCAGCAAAGTAAGAAAAACCGAACACACACAGCAAAATTGAGTATTCTTACCTAGAAAAAAATTCTTGCAAAATTCTTATTTTAAGCAATATTTTTCTTAAAATAAGAAAAACAAGAGAAAATATTCTTATCAAGAATTAATTTTACTTAAAATAAGTAAAATTTTTCTAAGCAAGAATAATTGTTTTCTTAAAACAAGCAAAAGTTCTTGCTTATATTCTTACCAAGAATATCTATATACTTAAAACAGGCAAAACGTCTTGCTATATATTTTAGACAAGAATAATTGTTGGCTTGAAACAGTCATTGGTTCGTGTTGATATTCTACTCAAGACAAGACTGATTTGTTTTCTTAAAAAATATATACCGCCTACAGTTCCATTTCACAACACAAATTCAAAGTTCTGAGCTCTTCTAAAACCAGGTAAAAGCTGAATTGTGAAACTTAATGGGGCCACATCCCAAGTTCCACCATGCCCTCCCCATCGAGGATTATAGGTAAAATCTTTGCAAAAACAGGCCCGGCAAACAATCCTGAAAAATCCCTGACAATTTATATATATATAGACCTGTGACAATTGGAAAAGTATATTCTATTTTGAATACTAAAAGATTAAATCTCGAATTTATACAGAAACATTTTCGATTTTAATATTTGATTTAAATATTTCCTGTATCGAATGTTTTCTTTTCAGAATAAAAATGGTCAATTTGGCTTCAATACGCGTCTCTGTAGTTGCTCTGTTTTTGGTAAGTATTCGTTGTTTCATTGCTCGTCCTTTGCCAAAGTTATAGCGGCACAGATGCAACCGTAACAGATGTCGATTTTGTTTACATGTGAATTAACAGATGTGATCGTATCAATATCGCGGGTATATTGCTTCGTTAAGGCTATGTTTACATTGTATCGGATCAGTTTTTGTTTCGTTCGCGAAAAGTTACGGCCCAAGTGTAAACAGCTTCCGCCCCGCCCAACTATGCCGTCGTATTTTCTTCTATATATTATTAGAATAGTAAGTTATTGTTTGCCAAATTCCATCTTGAGTCACGCATTGAACCGAAATTGCTCCGATTGGTATTTACATTGCAATGAGAGCGTTGCAAAAACCGATCCGATACACCGCGCAACACTTCGAAGAGCGAACCGCCGCACCACCGGTCCGTTGCAGAAATTGAGACGATAACAACATTTCATATGTAAACAGAAGCCCTATCCGGTATGGTTTTTGCGTCGGAAGCAAAGTGATCCGATACAATGTAAACATAGCCTTAGCCTTTGTAAAACGGGAATGAGAGTTGATGAAATTTGAGAAGCAAGAGGCCCATTTCCACTCAAGAAAAATTTCCACGGACAGCGAATTTTCCAAAAATGTCATTGTTGAAAGTTGAAAATTTTCGACTTCAAAATTTTTTCCGACGGAAAATTTGTGTCTGCCAATTCGCGTTTTACAAAATTTTATTTCTGCGAAAAATTTTCCTGAGTGGAAATGAGCCTACTAAAGAGAGGCAGTAAGTGACCAATCGTAGCAATTTTTTATTCAAAACAAATAATTCCAACGCGATTAACCAGCGCTGGTAATTTAATTCTGGAAACATGGACTTGTAAAACATGGACTTGTAAAACATGGACTTGTAAAACATGGACTTGTAAAACATGGACTTGTAAAATATGGACTTGTAAAATATGGACTTGTAAAACATGGACTTGTAAAACATGGACTTGTAAAACATGGACTTGTAAAATATGGACTTGTAAAACATCATGGACTTGTAAAACATGGACTTGTAAAACATGGACTTGATCTTCGAGCGAATTTATTATCGATGATGTGTTTCTCTATACAGTATGTACACCTATATAGAGAAACAGGTAAAAATACACGAATTATTCTGCTGTGCTCGCTTGCCCTTGCCTCCACCTTATTTTGCCCCCGGAATTGGCCAGATAATAACGAAATAGATTCGGGACCGAGTCAACATAATTTAACTTCGAAAATATGTAATCCTTCTTTGCATATCTATGTTAAATAGTTTTTTATTAACTAACATTTTGACAAAAAAAAACTTCCACCAATTTGCATTTTCTATCATATCTAGAATCGGTTGTAATTAAGCTCTAAATTCAGTTGCAAAACATGAATTTATCTATGGCACCGGTCCCATAGATACATTTCTAGGAAATGAGTAACATGTCTTAGTGATAGGCATTATTAACTCGATCTACCATACTATATAGCCTAGTGAGTAGTGTACATGCACGGAGGGATATTAATCGTAAGCCGTTTTTCTCGGCCAACTCCAATATTTAAAAAAATAACGTAATGATCAAATTTTGAATAGTTACAATAATAGTTCAATCGCAAAAGTTCGATCTCTTGGCCTTGAAAATCATTGACTGAAATTCATCCTCGAGTTCCCAGATCATAACATGTATCTTGATTGACTGTGTAATGTCAGTTGGCAATTTCCGTTTTGGACATTACTACAGCCAAGCTTTCGTTTCACACGCATACGACTGATTAATTTAATAATGGATACCAGTAATATTTGTTAGGCACTAAGGACAATGAAATGTTTTGTTACGAGTTTCGTTTTGTTTTGTTTAATGGACCTTTCACCTTTTGACTAAAATTTAGATCTCAACAAGTCTAGACAAAAATTTTATCACAGCTTGAAAGAGCATCACAAAATTAGTAATATTCCAAAGTTTCATTGCGAAATGTTGTAAAATGCGGATAATATAGCCTTGCGAAGTTTGCAATTTTCAGTCATTTTAGATTACAAACGGGAAAAACATACCCCTTTTCCGAAGGAGGTATGTATTTCCCGCGCGTAATACAAAATGACTGAAAAT